GGACATTTGGCATTTTCAAAAGAGAAATGGGGGTGGGGGAATAGAATCCTTTTAGTTTTACAGGATATTTACAGGTAAAACTCTGTTGATAGGAGGAGCCTTTAGTTAGAAAATTACAAAGCAACAAATCAGTTTATGTATACTCTCAAAAATTTTACCAAAAATACTATCACATAATATAAACCACAGCAGTAGTGAAGGCAATAAAATTTAAAAGCAAAACCAAACCACAGCCATTGCCATTAAATTGGCCCCTGCTCGGAGCTCTCCTGTCTGGCAGAGTGGAAATTCCCCAAGGCTGTAATCATTAAGGAAACAAACTGCCACAGTTTTCTCCTGCACTGCAGCAAGTGGGTTTGAACTATCGACCTTTTAGTTAGCACGTGAGCACTTTAACCACTGTCCCACCTGGGCTCCTTGTCTAAGCTTATGGTCTTCAGCTTTCCTCTGAAGCTCTTAGGATCAACAAGCATGAAAATGGATCCAGCAGAAACTGTTTCCCTTTTTGGCAAGGAGAGTTTTAAACGCTGTCTTCTCTCAGATTTGTGGCATCCTTTCTCATTAAGTTCCTAGTGGTTGTGTATGGAATGACCTCATTTAAGGCTAAAGAATTGTACTACCAACCCAAAGGCAAGTAGTTCGAATACGCCCGCTGCTCTGAGGGAGAAGATAAATGGACAATCTCCACAACTACATTTATTGCCTCTGAAAACCCACTAGAGGGTCAGCTGTGAGTTGGTTCCGACTCAGTGGTACTCAACAACATTTATTCTTTTTTTTTCAACAACATTTATTCTTAAAGACAATCAAGTTTGAGTAATTTAGGATTAGTAGAGGTTAGAAATTGCCAAAGCAAAGACTGTTTAAAATCATAACCTATACCCCAAGTGTCATAGTAATGCAATTTTGTTGGGGTTTTTTAAGATAAATTAGTTCCTTTTTTAATTTTAATTTAATTTTTTTATATTACCCTGATTTGTTTACAAAGTTTGAATACATTGTTTTTCACAAAAGATCTTTCCCATTTCTTTCACTTGGACCAGGAGGCAGTCGTCAGAACAGAGCAAGGGAACACTGCATGGATCAAAATTGGGAAGGGCGTACGCCAGGGATGCATCCTATCTCCATACCTTTTCAACCTATATGCAGAACAGATTAT